CCTGAGAGAAGCTCACAGGCTCCTTTTAAGCAGGGTTAGAGGAATTCCAGGGAGGAGAGATTAGTCTGGGGGTTGATTGGTCGGTTTTTATGGGTTGTTACAGAATTGGTGGGAGGCTCTAGTGGTTAGGGACTTTCCAGTGGCAGGGTAGGAAAAGCTATCTTTAGCTAGCAGAGGGTTGAGGGGTGCCTGCTGAACTAGGAGAAGGCTGTGAGGAAGGTGCCTGTGGATCGGCTGCCCCTGAGTTGCGGTTTTCCCAAGAACTGCTTGCTCAGCTCCAGCCAGCTCCAGTAAACCAAAACTAAGGCCTGGTCTCTGGCAGGGCTACTAGAAGCTTCTCTGGCTCCCTGGCTCTCTCTCTCAGTTAAACAACAACAATTCCTGAAATTAAAGTAATTTAGTTCCCAGTGACTTGCTTTTCTTGATGCTTGGCGCTCTCCGGGTAACAGTGGCCATGATGCTTGTTAACCACCTGCTGATCTTTTACCCACCACATGCCTGATTTCCTTGGCTACCCCTAGCAACAGCCAATGGCGGGCCTAGAAAGGGACATTTCACTTCTCTTCCTCCTTTCCCTTTTCTGCTCTATAGTTACCTCAGCTTGGAAGCATCTGGGCCCTCTGCTTTCCTGCACGCAATCTGCTCTCCGCAGGTCTCCTTGCAATAAAACTTGTCACCATGTGGATTCTATGACCGGATTCACATCACCAGGCTTCGTGGCAAGCACCTTTACTTGAGCCCTCTTGCTGGGTTTAGATGATTTTCTTTCTTTCTTTTTAAATAAGTCTTTATTTATTTATTATGTATACAGTCTTCTGCTTGGACACCAGAAGAGGGCACCAGATCTCATTACAGATGGTTGTGAGCCACCATGTGGTTGCTGGGAATTGAACTCAGGACCTCTGGAAGAGCAGCCAGCACTCTTCACCTCTGAGCCATCTCTCCAGCGCCTAGATGATTTTCGTAACATTTCTGGAACATTGGCTTTCTTGAGAGCATTTCCTGGCCCAGCGGAGTGACAGACCCATTTGGATTAACTCTGGAGGGAGGGATAATGGCTTTTACCACTAAGCCCCTGCTAGAAAGCAATGTTATAATCTTGGGAGCAGTACAGAATACATGATCACGTCTCCACCCAAGGCAGGATAAACGATCCAGATCTTCTATTCTTTTGACCAAAAATCATGTGAATAACCCAGGTGTAAAAGAATGAAATAAAAATACATAAATAATTCTATAAAAATAGCCACTCCTGGAACTAGGGAGATAGTCCAGGGTTCAAGTGCTGCTTGCTATGCAAACACAAGGATCTGAGTTCAAATCCACAGAACACAAGTGAAAAGCTGGGCGAGCTTGCACATAACCCCGGAGCTGTGGGAGGACGAGGACAAGAGGATCGTTGGGGCTTCCTGCCAGCCTACCTCCAGGTTCAGTGAGAAACCCTGTCTCAAGGGAATAAGATAGAGCATGACAGGCTAGGATGCCTGATGTCGTCTTTGTCTGACCTACACATGTGCACAGGGCACACACCTGCACACACACCTGCACACACACACACACACACACACACACACACACACACACACACGCTCATATAACACACACATGCACACACAACCGTTTTTTGTTTTTTTTTAAGTTAAAAAACAAAGCTGGGCGTGGTGGTGGCGGCGGCGGCGGCGGCGGCGGCGGCGGCGGCGGCGCACGCCTTTAATCCAGCACTCAGGAGGCAGAGACCAGTGGACCTCTGTGAGTTCGAGGCCAGCCTGGTCTACAGAGTGAGTTCCAGGACAGCCAGGGCTACACAGAGAAACCCTGTCTCGAAAAATGAAAAAATAAAATAAAAAAACAAAAATGGGGCTGGGGAAATAGTTTAGTGGGTGAAGCCTTTGTTGTATAAACATAAGGACCCGAGCTGTGACCCACAGAACACAAGGAGAAGCCAGATGTGGCAGCACATGTCTGTGGTCTCAGTGTTCCTTTGGCAAGATGGGAGGGGGCGACAGGAGACTTCCCAAAGGCTTATGGGCCACCTAGCCTCACATAGGTAGCAACAAACAACAACAATGAAAAGCCTGTCTCAAACAAGAAAGAAGGGGAAGCCCAACACCCAAAATGATCCTTTGACCTCCACATGTATGCCAAGGTACCTGTGTGCTCATACTCACACAAACACAAAGAAAGAAAAAACACAAAGAATGAGGATCCCCACTAGTGGGATGGGGACAGCCCCCCATAAACCTGCCAGTTGACCCGCCCTGTATATGCACTTGTTGAGAAACCAACAAGCCAAGAACTCCCAACCGCCCCAAGGACTTTAGCTCAGCTTGGTCCTCACTGCTGAGACTGTCAACTCCATCTATCCATCTGTTTGCCCATCTGGACACAGTTCTGCCCTTTGCCTCTTCTGCCTCCACAGTCTTAGGTCTCCTCTCACTTCCTTAGCTCCACTACACCCTGCAGATCCCCTGAACTCTAACTCTGGGACCTGGCTCTACCTGTGTCTCTAGCAGCAGCTCCCCAACAGGTCTTGGTTTATTTTTGTTTTTGTTTTTAATTTATGTGCATTGGTGTGAAGGTGTCAGATTCCCCTGGAACTGGAGTTACAGACAGCTGTCAGCTGCCATGTGGGTGCTGGGAATTGAACCCAGGTCCACTGGAAGAGCAACCAGTACTCTTTACCACTGAGCGAGCCATCTCTCCAGCTCCCTCCCCAACACGTCTTGTTATCTCACCCACCAGCGACTCTGTATCTCTGTCAGCTGCCTGCCTCTACCTCCACTGAGGCCTCTTTGAATTCGGCGGCAGCCTCTTTAATCCTGTTACAGCCATTCTGAGACCTGCCCTGTAGATAGACGACAGGTTGATAGATGACGGCCACAGTTCCAGACATAACTACTGTGTTCCATTTGAGGTACAATCACGGAGAATTAACATGAGTAGTTACAGTGGGAATAAAAGACACTGCGCCTGCTGGAGTCACTATCAAGGCAACTCAGGACCCCTTGACATATGTAACTTGTCAGTTTGTTATTTGATACATTCTGACATTGTGAAAAGACACAGATGTGTTCACCTGTGTTTCTGACATTGTGTACTCATGACAAATACCCACTCTGGGGTCACTTGCCTGGTGCCAGACAAGAGTTAAGCTCCACTGACAGGGATAGTGCCCAGGGACTTGATCCCTCTGGGCTCCCTGGAGCCTTCTTGCCTCCCAGGACAGGAAGTGGTCATGTAAGCTGGCCTTACTGCTCTTTACAGGGCTGTAAGACTCTTGGGGGTGGGGGGAGTTGTCCTCAAGGCAGATAATTCTAAGGAAGGAAACTCATCACCATTACCCTTCCAAGGACCCTGTGGTTTGTAGAAGCCAGTGACACAGGGACAATCCATTACCACTGGGGAGGTCCAGTGTTACCCCAATCCTCTGTATCCAGGTTCCCATGTGAATGGTCACTATCAGAACTTCTCCAGAACACAGACAGACCCATCTCAATTCTACATCACTGAGGATAGTCCCTCCTCGGGCTGACCCTAGACTGTGCACACTAACTACTCCAGCCCACCAGACAAAGGGGACATGTATGCAGATGGCTCAAAGGCAGTGGCCAGACACCAGGGCTTCTCAGCAGCAGACACCCCATGTCTTCTTAGAGAAAAGCTTGAACCATGTGAGCAAGCCCCCGCCAGGGTACTAGCGGCTGAGTCCCACCAAAAAGAGAAGAGTATAATTCTCCAGAGGGCAGCCACTCCAAAAGAAACTGTTCCACAAGTAAACCAGTGGGGGTAGAGGGAGTCGGGGAGCCTGCCTGAGAACCAGATGAACAAGGACCTATCTACAGTCCACCCACATCCAGCTCAACCCACCTCATTAGAAGATACACGAGAGACTTGTCACTGGGGGCTATAGGCAGATGGCAAGAGGCACACAGACCGCTAGCCCTCTCGGAAATGCAAACAAGGAGATGCCTATCTCCCTACACCAAATGCTGGCGAGGCGCGAAACCCCATGCGGCTGGTAGGAATGAATGAGAAATGGCTCTCTGTAAAGCAGCCTGGCTGATCCTTACAAAAGGAAACATGCAGCTTAGGACGTAGCAACTGCATTCCCGAGTGATAATAGGCAAGCTCCGCAAGTTGCACACTGGACAATTACATTTGTCTAACATGTTGACAGCTGAGTCTAAAAGGGGGAGACGACAGATCCGTGGTTTGCTCGAGGTCTGAGACGCCGGCTTCTCCAGCGTCGGAGGCCCTAACATTGTATACTAGTCACGCAACATGGCGTCCCCAGGGAGACTCAGCCAAACACAAAGCAGTTCTCCATTATTTCTCCCTAACTGATTGAATTGCAACGATCTCAAAGCGCGGTGGGGCACACCTATAATCCTAGGGCTCGAGAAAGGTTGAAGCGGGAGATTGCTAGTTCTAAGATAAAGGCCAGGAGCCAGGGATCAAGAACAGAGCGGAGGAGGTCTGAGCCAGGCTCTGACTGGGGCATCATCAGTCGGGTCCAGGGCGGCCACCTGCCGTGCACACTGGGGATCGGAGCGATGGGCAAAACAAGTGACAAGCCCGAAGACTAAGGAACGACCCGAGGACCGCAGACTGCTTGGAACCCTGAGAAGAGGAGGCGGCTCTGCGCCGTGAACGCCGGGAGAAAAGCGCCGCCAGCTGTCCAGAAGTCTGCACAGCCGCAGACACCACCTCCTTGGCGTCCCCGCCAGCTATGCGCCAGGCCGCCGCTGCAGCATCACCACAGAGAGGTCGGGCCGCGCCTCCTAGAGCGGCCCCGCAGGGCCCGGGAGAAGTGGGCGGGTCTACGGAGCCGAGCGCAGCAGCACCACCACAGAGAGGCCCGCCGACGGCTCCTAGAGCGGCGCCAGAAGGGCGCGAATGAGAGGGCGGGGCTCCGGAGCACGCGGTGGAACCACCGAGAGCCCCGCACGGCTCCTAGAGAGGGACCGGAGACTGCTCAGGACGGTGGGCGGGGCTCTGGGGCGCGCGGCAGCACCACCGAGAGGCCGGGCAAGGTAGAGCGGCTCCAGAGGGGCGGGCGCCTTCAGGCGCGGGAGAGGCGGGAGTGGCGGCTCAAGTCGGGGGATCGTAACCGTTGTCTGCCCGCCCGCCTGCCCACGGCCAAGTTCAGCCGGCATCTGCGCCCGGCACCCACCAGGTACCTTCTGCACGCGCGCTCGGTGTCTCCGGCCTAGCGAAAGTCAGCTTCTGGGTCTTTTCTCCGTGGGGCGCCAGCCGCTCGGCGGTGTTGCGGAGGTCCCGGAGGCGGGGAAGGTGGGGCGGGCTTCCTATCAAAGCCCCTTGCCTTGCCGCGGGGTGCCTTGAGCTCCGAGCCCCGCCGGGTCCAGCAGCACTTTGGTGGACCTGAGCTAACGTTAGGCCCGCTGAATTGAACTAAGTTGCCTGCTTCACTCGCGCCCACTTTGTGCACGGGCCTGAGAGGGGAGGGGGTGCAAATGAGATGGTCGCTGTGGTCTACAGTGGTGTTGATGACTGTTTTCAGTTTTCAGTGAGGATGAGCCTTGGTGAACAAGCACAGGACACCTGAGGCCTGCTTGTTACGCCTCTCGCCGGAGTGATGGTGTTTGAATTGGAACTGAGCTTGGATGCTGTCAGATAGGGACTCTCAGACGTCTCCTCCTGAGCTGTCCCACAAAAGACGAACGCTTTCGGATGGTGACGTTCAGACCCCGAATCCAGATAAGAACTTTATCTGCTGAGTTAGGTATGCAGGCATCAGTGTAATGCTTAGAACAAAATACGGTGTACTCCCAAAGTGACAGTTATGGTTTTGGACAGGTGTGGGAGCTCTAGGTGGGAGTGCCAACATAGCCCACCCCTTTAGGCCTCCAGGGGTGGAGGGGATGGTGCAGGTTTAGAGATAAAGAGAGGTCACATAGAGAAAGGCTCATTGGCACAAGGGACAGCCTTTGGGGGTGTGATGGGCTGTGCTGGTTGCTGTGGATTATGAGGACAGCCCTGAGGTTTCCAGGCAGTATGTAATGCAATTACCTCTTGCTGCAGGGTACATGCACAGTCCCGATGTGGGCAGGTGGAGAGGATAAGGATGGGCAGGGAAGTTTCCACTTGGGGAGATGGGAAGTGGCCGTGATAGGGAGTTCTGTGGGATGAGTGGAAACCTTGTTCTCAGGCCAAGGAGTGTCTCCTGGTCAGTGGCTGAGTTAGTTAGAGCGTCACTCAAAGAGATGAGCGTGCTCTGGACCAGTGAAGTGGGCTGGAGTTCTGGGGAGTCCACGTTAGTCTGAGATACTCATCAAAGGACAGTGGAGGGACTGCGGCCCCGAGAGCTGCCTTTGACCTGTTGTCGATGCTTTTGCCTCCAGAAAGAAAAGGACCGTGGCTCTATCTGCTCGGTGCCAAAATGCAGCTTCATAAGCAGGATGTGCTGAGCTGTGCCCGACAGAGTGAAGTCACAGAGAAGCCAGGCGGCCACTAGCTGGGGGCCCTCAGCCTTCCCTGGCTTCCAGGGTGTTTCCCACTTCCTAGGAGCAGCAATGGAAAAGCCTGCAGGCAGGAAAAAGAAGACCCAGGCCCCCAAAGAGGAAGCAGGTGCTCAAAAGGCCACTGCCAAAGGGGAGAAAGCGCCAAGGGGGAAAAAGCCAACCAAGAGGAGGCCCCGGAAGCCCCGCAAACAGACTGTGCTGAGTCCCGAAGACGAGGCGCACATCTTTGATGCCTTCGATGCCTCGTTTAAAGATGACTTTGAGGGCGTCCCCGTGTTTATTCCTTTTCAGAGGAAGAAGCCCTATGAGTGCGGTGAGTGCGGACGAATCTTTAAACACAAGACAGATCACATTCGCCACCAGAGAGTTCACACTGGCGAGAAGCCCTTTAAGTGTGACCAGTGTGGGAAGACCTTCAGGCACAGCTCAGATGTCACCAAACATCTGAGAATCCATACCGGTGAGAAACCCTTTAAATGTGGGGAGTGTGGAAAGGCCTTCAACTGTGGCTCCAATCTTCTGAAACACCAGAAAACGCACACTGGAGAGAAGCCTTATGGCTGTGAGGAGTGTGGAAAATCCTTCGCCTACAGCTCCTGCCTCATCCGGCATCGGAAGCGTCATCCGAGGAAGAAGCACTGAGCAGGGCAGCCTACAACTGTAGATCTTTTTCAAACATCAGATGTTGGTCTAGGTTTCCGGTGCAGTATGCTACCGATGGCTGATGTGGCTGCTTCTCCCTGTCATCGAAAGGAAAACCCACCCATCAGACCTAAGAACCCACAGAGGCCTTCTGCCCTGTGAGTCCTCCCTTGATGGTAACACGGTGCTCCCCGGGGCTTCCTGCAGCTCCAGCCATTTTCCAGACTACTTCATTCTACTCAGGACCATCTTTGGAACAGCTTTGGGTCACCGAGAACTTACAGCTAAAGAGACAACCCTGTTGGCGAGGGCCAATGCCTCCCTCTGCTGCCTCTGCCTGCATCATCCACTGTGTGATGGTCAGTTCTTTTGAAGGCTTCTGGCTCTGGATGCCTGGCCTCATGAAGTCTGCTAGGGGCAAGGACCCCTGAGGTGGATGGCAGGCCGCACTCTGAGCAGCTCTGAGGACCCAGGTCCCCTTGGACAGCACCAGAGCTTGCTCATCTCTGCAGCTAACTTTGGTGATCTTGAAGTTTCTCTCTTGCTGAACCAACAGTCTCTGAGCTCAGCCCCAGTGCCTGAAACTGGACTGCACTGTGGACCCTTGTCCCAGCCACCATCGTAGACAAGTAGCCTGGACTCAAAGTGGCCTCGGTAGACCCTTGCACCCTGCCATAGTGGTAGATTGTTTAGGCTAGGCCTTGTAGCTCCAGGGTGTCAGCAGCAGCTTCCACCCACTGTACCTTCAGAAATAGCTGTGGCCCTGCCCCGTGGCAGCCCACCATTCAGGTCAGCTCCACTTCCTGCCTGTCACCAGGACAAGACAATGTGGTTGCGCCTGCCCTCTGTCCAGGTGCTCTATGAGGTCTGTGTTCTAAGGACAGCAAAGTGACTGCTGACCAGAAGGGTAAGTTGGCAGAGATTTGGACTTTATTTAAAAAAAAAAAAAAAAAAAACACCACCTAGTAATAGCTTTAGTCTTTGAGGACTCTGCCCTGAAAGAAGGGTCCCCAGCCAGAACTAGAGATGGGTCTGTCAATATATAAAGAGACCATGAGAAATAAATGACGCGAGGTAGCTATACTCCCTGGTAGGAATGTTTTACCAGGTGTGGTAGTTAATCTTCGTGTCAACCTGACTGGGTAGAGGATCAGCTAGGAGACATGCCAGGTGTGTCTGTGAGGGGGTTGCCGGGGAGACTTACCTGAAGAGACAGCTCAGCAGGTAAAGGCACTTGCTTCAGAAGCCTGGCAATTGAGTTCAATCCTGGAACCCATGTAAAAGTGGCAACAGAGAGCCAGCTCCCCAGAATTCCTCTGACCCCCGCCTGCACACAGCAGCCGTAGACACACAGAGCCTTAAGAAACTAAGAGACTTGAAAGGAAAACATGAGCGTTCATCTATTTGCTTCCCAGTTACAGGCAGTGTGACCAACCGTGACACACTCCCCACCATCATGGCCTGTATCCCTTCAAACCAGGAGCCAAGGAAGCCCTCAGGTTGCTTTTTTTCAGACAGTCGCTACAGTAATGAGAAAAATAACAAATATACCAGGTTAGTCGTCCTTTTTCTAAAAGCTGAAGTGAGCACCGAGTGTCTCTGGAACGTTCTGGGCACTGGCCTAGCCAGGTTTGCTGATGCACTGTCAGGAAGTGCAAGCTGAGGCTGCAGTTGGACCAGGGCTTGCACTGCCCCTCCCTAAGGGCAGAACGTTTCACGCAGAAGTCTTCCCACACCACTCTCCTTATACAGGCAACCCCAGGGGGATTGTACCAGACTTGATCCCCGAGGGAGAGCATGCCTCAATCTAATATGAAATCCAGTAGGTGAGATTGTGGGAAACTGGGCATCAGCTGGTGTAGATGTAACAAAACACACTCAGGCACCTTGTCCTGGGTTCGAGGAGTTGCACACACGGCTGGGACATTGGAAACCAGGGGTGTTAGCAGGTGGCTAGGTGTGGCCTCTGACCCCATCCTTAAGGACGCGTGGGAAGGTTTCAAAGTACAGTCATGATTTCCTCCGTACTGAGAGGAAACCAGAGATAGTGTGTGTTCACTAGGGCCACCAGGCAGGGTGACCCGGGGCCATTCCTCGTGAGTCGGGGTCCGGGATTAGCAACATTTTATGTAAAGGGACAGATTGGTTCTTGTCTTTGCAGCTGCATAGCCACTCACCTGTGCCACATATTGTCACAGCCCTTACAGATGGCACAGCATGAGTAGTGTGGCCATGTGCTAAGCAGACTTGTCAGAAAGAGGTGCTGCCGTGGTTTGTTTGCCAACCTTTCAGTTTGTTTATTGAGACAGGGTCTCAACTCTAGCCCGGGTTGTCTTGGATCCCCCTGTGTAGCTTGAACTGGCCTCAAACTCACAGTGTGCTCCTGCCTAAGCCTCTGGAGTTACAGGCATAATCCATCAGACATGGCTAAAATAGATGCCAAAGTGCTCCCTTGTGGTTTGTTTTTACTTTGTTTGTGACAATGTCTTGATATGTAGCTCAGGCTGAGAACTAACTATATAGCCCAGTTGGCCTTGAACTCACCATAAACCTCCTGCTTCAGCCTTCAGAGTTCTGGGATTCAGAGTCATGCACCCCACACCTGGTTTCTGATCCATATTCTTAATGAGGAAAATGAGAGAGTTTGAGGCACAGAGAGCTTGCAGGCTTAGTCCTTCAAAGCTTCTGTAGGCTTAGTCCTTCAAAGCTAGATGGTGGTCAGAAAAGCCAGCTAAGGATGTTGGGGTCCCCAGATGCAAGAACTGGACAATGTGCCTTCTGCAGTTTGATGTTCTAAGAGGATGACAGTGTGGACACAGAATCTACAACAGCCCACATCAGTCAAACACAACCCAAGGGGTGCCTGCATGGTCTGATTTGATTTGTGGAGAACTCTGATGACACCTGTCATTAGTGAGAAGTGTCGCTTTGAGCGGATGCATAAGGAGCCATTGACTTAGAGAAACAGAGCTGACCTGACTCGGCCTGAGCTGTTCCCTAACCTGGCCAGGTGGACTGTTTCTGGATTAGGTTACAAATAATTCTTTGCTGTCTTTTCCACATTTTAGGGTGCATAGGACAGAACCCAGACACAGAATGCCATGTAGTCAAATACTCGCCTGCCTCAGGCTGGCCCTGGAAGACACCTGCAGCAGTGCCTGGCGGCAGAGTCCAGTCAGCCCTCCAGCGAACAGGTATGTTCACGGTCATTGTTCTGCTTTTGGGGCCCTGGGGATGGAACCCAGGGTCTCGTGAGCACTAGGCCAATGCTCTACCACTTAGCTGTGCCTCAGCCCAGGGTTCTTGGAAAAGAAGAATTAAGTTGTTTGTTTGCTTTTTGGTTTGGTTTGGTTTTGAGTAGACTGGGCTGGCCTCAGCTCACAGACCCACCTGCCTCTGCCTCTGCAGTGCTAGGATTAAAGGTGTGCCAAACATAGCCAAAGAGCCATGTTAAAAGCCACTGTCTTGATCTCGAGAAGGAAGCAGGTGGTAAGAACATGAGTCCTAAAGTGGAAGTCCCCTCCTTGCCTGGATGTTGCAGTGTTAGATGTATTGCTGAACCTTGTGCCTCAGTTTCCTCCCTTGCAATGGGGATGACAGTGCTCGACTCTAAAGAATCAGCCAGAAGTCAGTGACTTGAGGTGTGGCAGGGTATGGCAACAAATGCCTTTAATCCCAGCACTCAGGAGGCAGAGGCAGGTGGATCTCTGTGAGTTTGAGGCCAGCCTGGTCTACAGAGTGAGTTCCAGGACAGTGAACAGCCAGGGCTACATAGTGAAATCCTGTCTCAAAGAAAGAAAGAAGAAAGTCCATGTGTGGCACTGGCTCTTGCCTGTGGTTTTAATGCACACAAGCTCTTCCTGTGTGTTGGCATGTTTACATTGTTCTGTGATTTTCTGTGTTTTTATGGGTATTTCCCTGCATGTTTGTGCACCACATGCCTGGAGTGTTCTCAGAGACCAGAAGAGGGTGTTGGATCCTCTGGAACTGGAGTTGCAGTCAGCCACCTTGTGGATGCTGGGAACCAAATCCAGGTCCTCTGAAGAGCAGCCAGTGCTCTTAACTGCTGAACCATCCTCCGGCCCCTTGTTAGACTTCTTTTCTGTGTTTTCCAAATGCCACTCACGGTTATGAGAAGTCGCCCAACCAAAGCAGCAGGAGGAGGTCATGGTGCAGCCCCAACACAAGTGGGAGGGGGTCAGACCTGCTGCTTGGACTAAGTGCACACGTGTGCCCCTAGGTATCGGTCCTCAGCTGGAGCCCCACGTCCCTCTGCATCCTTCACTTTCTTTGGGCAGCTGGCAGAAGCAGCTTGCACTTAACCCACCCATTTCCTTCAGTCAGCTATCTCCTGCCCTCTTCTCATTTACCCAGACTGTTCTTTGTTCTTTCCAGGCGGCTAGTGCAGATCTTCCTAGCAAGAAACTCAGAGAAGTCAAGAGAATCAGTGTCTACCTCCACCACAGGGCACTGAGATGCCCACTGGGTCATGCACCAGGGAGGCTGTCATCACAGAAGCCATTGGCAACAGGAAAGCTGTAGGTGGATGAGCTCAGGGAGGCCTTCTGGACACCGTGTGGTAACTACAGGGCACTTGGACTTCTCCCTACCCTGAAGTCAAGGTGGCTGCATCGCATCATTGACCAGCGACCATTAGTTCTGGCTCACTGTCAGCCTACCAGAGAGTCCCAGCACCAGCTCTTTACTTCAGTGAGACACACTGAACAGCCACCCGGGAACAAACTAAATGCTCAGAACCTTCTAGATGTCTTGAGATGTGTCCTGGGGCATTGAAGAGCACTCCAGCGATGTATTGGGGTTCTAATTACAAAAGCATACTCAACTGCAGCTAGAAATTTCTGAGAGGTACGAGGCAGCTCTCCCTGGCAGCGCCTCAGCTCTACCTCTGGTGGGTGTCTCCTGCAGGAAGCGCTCTGACCAGCATGGCTGCTGCTCAGCCTCACTTAGAGCAGAGAGCACTGTCGCGGCCGACAACAAGCAGGTGGACGAGAGCTTTGAGCTGCATTAGCGTCCGTTCCCTCGGTCCTCTCCCAGCCAAGTGAGACGTCAGAAGCCACCTCTGGGGAGAGCCAGAAGTAGCCCTGGACTAGGCCCAGAACTCTTCTGTTGAGGAGACCACTGGTTTAGACTTGATTCTAGCTGGCAACTTCAGTTCCTGGAAGTCTGTAGCTCCAGGGCACACCTGGGCTCCGTTCCTCCTTGATCTTGGATCCATCCCAGTTTGACATCAAGACACAATCATTTCCTGTGCCAATGAGTTCGGATGCCAAGATGCCCTGAAGAGTAAGGCAGGACCGGGGCCCTAGGAAGAAAGGCTGTGTACCCTAACCCAAAGGACAGATGCTCTGTGGCTTCAAGGGAAGATTTGGGGGAATGGGGTCACCTCTGGTGTGGACCTCAGGTATAGTGCAGACAAGGAGACTAGCCTATGTGCCACATTTACCCTTAGGCCAAGAGATGGCTCCCACTGTCAGCCTACCCCTTCCAGAACTTTGCACCCGTGGAGTTGGGTGTTTGCTTTCTCCTGGTTCCTTCTGAAGGAAGACAAGTAGATTACCCTCTCCTGACTAAGATCCCCTGAGACTGATGCTTTCCTGTGGCAACTCCCAGCCAACACCCGGGGGAGGCATTGCAGCTGGGTCTGCAGGCATTTGGCTCTGAACTGGTAGCACCCAGCTGGCCTGTCCACGCCTCACCTCGGCCACATCAGCAATCTGGTGGGACCTCATCCTTCTTGTATCTGGCAGTGCAGAGACACCTGTGTGTCCTAATGCCCTGTACAGTCCCTGCAGGGCGTCTCCTGCCCTCCTGTGCTAAATTGCAGTGAGTGGGAAGCAGCTGTAGCCTATTGTGTTGGAGCAGATGCTGTCCCCGACCTGGTGTCTCTGTGTCACAGTTGTGAACTCTGCTTTGATGTGAAACATCCTTGGTGCTGTGTCAGTGCTGTGCGCATTGGACTAGACATTGTTTGCTGTGCACTCGGTGGCTTCCTTCGTATGTGACCCCTCTGCTCCATGGACAGCCACACTGATCTCCTCATTGCCTTCCAGTTGCTGCCATGGTTTTGTGAGCAAATGCTGTTGCTGCTGCTGCTGCTGTTGCTGCTGCTGCTGGATGTCTATTTTCTCATAAAAGTAAATGTGTTTTCAACCTGCTTTCTGTGCTCTGTCAGGTGCCCTGCAGTGTGGAGGGATGCCCTCAAAGAAGCCACCAGCTTTCTCCACCAGGGACCCTGCAAGACCAGGGTCCCAGCTGGTCACTGCTTCTCAGGAGTGTCTAGGATGCTCCAGTGACCAAGCTCATGAGAGTATAATGTGTAATTCAGAAAAGTCGTTCACTGCTGTACATTGGGGTGAGGGTGGAGGCTCTACAGCAGCAAGACATCCTCCTGCCTTTTTGACCCCAGATACTAGGATTCTAGGTTAGCGTTTGGTTAGTTGTTCAGTGCCTGTAGTAGGGACCCTGAGGGAAACCTGGGAATCATCCATTCATTCTCCATTTAGGGCAGGTGTTCTCAACAAGGGGTGATCTTGCAGGAGACAATTAACAGGGCCTAGGGACAGTTTTGTTTGGAGGATCTGATGGGTGGAGGCAAAGATTTGGCCAGACTTCATAGTATACAGGTCAACCCCACCCCAATGGGGAGTGCTGGTGCCATGTTGTTACTTAGGAAGCTAGGGACCGAGTTGGGCTCCCAGTCAACAGAAACACAAGAAGAACCCTTCTCTTTTCTGATCCTTTCTCCTGTAGCCCCAAGACTAACCTTAAAATGAAGAAGAAGGGTCACTTGAGCTTTCTAGATCTGGGATAACAATAGTGAGATCCCTATCTCAAAAATGGGATGGGGTGAAGCTGGAGGTTTATCCCAGTGTTGAAACACACAGCGTACTTGAGATGCTGGTTTACCAGTTGCTCTTTGAGAGGACCAGGTTTGATTCTCAGCACCCACATGGCAGCTCGCAGCCGTCTTAACTCTAGTTCCAGAGGCTCTGTCTCCCTTTCCTGCTCTCCATAGGCCTGGGCATGCACATGGTACACAGACATACAAACAGGCAAGACAGCCATATACATATGACAAAAATTAAAAAATTCATATCCCTCCCCTTGGAGGGTTGCAGTGCCTCCCAGTACACTTGGAATAAAATCCTAGTTCTGAAATGGCTTTAGGACTGTTGTTTTGTCTAATCTTGCCCATCTTGTTCCATTCTCCCTTGCTTACCATATTCCAGCCTGCCTGCTCTCAGGTCCAGACGACTGGTGATACTCTTCCCATGCCTCAGGACATTTGCACACATTACTTCTTTTGAATCCTCTTACCTCTCCCTATCACCTTCTCTCCCTCCTTTGATAGCATCTCCTTAGGTTATATTGGGCATCAGGCCTCCACTTGTGGGGTACACACCAGAGACTAGGACATGGCTTTAAGCCAATAGGAAGAAAGTATCAGCTAGCCGGCACCTACACTGTGTTCAGGATCCCAGCTAAGCACCGAGCCTTCCTCAGGTTGAGGTTTTCAGCACAGAAACCATGTTCTGAGTGGAGATACTTGAGTTAACAAGAACAGTTAGCCAGAAGCGGAATTACAGAAGCCAAAAGGCAAGGCTAGTACATTTAGAAACTCCCAGAACTATGAACTTTGATGGACTAGGTCTTTGTTTTTGTTTTGTCAAGTGGTGCTGTCTACGTGCTGAGTGTTATGGCCTGAATGGTACTTCCATCCTGAGCCACCTGTGCTAAGGTTTGGGGGCCTGTTAACATTCCTCACTGGCCTCAGTGAATGAGTCAGATCGTGGACTCATCCCACTCTAAAGAGGTAGAGTTGGTCCTAAGGATCATTAATTTTACCAAATTGTTACATAATTGGCCAAATAGTTTAAGGTGCAGGGGCCCACCATTAATCCAATCAGAGTGAGAATTAAGGGCCCAGCTGGTGCTGATGGTGTGATGGCTAAAGAAACTGTTTTCTGCTAGGCATCCATCTTGATACCCACTAGCCATTTGTCTGACTCCAGGCCCGGGAAGATAAGTTTCCAATAACCCTGACTCAGTGACTCCACCCAGAAATGTACAGCCATGACCATCTACTTGTTATGATATGATTTTGTTGGCTTCTGTAACCTGCTTATGCAGACATTCAAGGACTATTTTGAGTTCTCCTTGGCTGCCTAATCTTGGCAGAGCAGAACGGCTCTGGCTTGCTTGTGCAGATACTTAAGGTCTTCTTGTGGGTTTTGCTTTTAAGAATCTTTCCCGCTCCCCCTTCGCACAGCAGTCTCTAGTTTGGCTCAGATTTTTGTCCTGCTGGCAGTTTCAATAAATTTAACTAATTATAATCCGGATTGAGTCTGTGGTCTTTTCCTGGGAGTCTCGAACTCCAAAACATTTGGGGGCTCGTCCAGGATCTCTGGAAGACCCCAGGCTAGGGATGGGGGTCTTGGGATAGGCCCTAAGTTGGGGCGAGTCTGAGGTGGACTTGGAAACCCGGAGGAGCCCGAGACTGTGGCTGCCACAAATTAAGGAGTCACTAGTTGGGGCACACCCCAAACAGGGGCAAGAACCACAACTTGGAGACCCTAGGGGTGAACAGGCCCTAGATGGGGGCAAGCACATTGTGGACTTGGAGGCCCACAGGACCCCAAGACTGTGACTACTACAAATTTGCAAATTCCCAACGTTCTGGAGGCAAAGGCAGGTAAATCTTTGTGAGTTTGAGGCCAGCCTGGTCTACAGAGTGAGTTCCAGGACAGCCAGGGCTATACAGAAAAACCCTGTCTCAAAAACAAACGAAAGCCAACCAAACAAAAAAAGGAAAAAGTTGCTGGCGAGTGCGCATTTGAAACCCACACCAATGAGTGAGTTCTGTTCTGGAAGTCCTGACATCTGGGGTGACAGAGGGGAAATCAGATGTGATCATAGATCATAGATCAGTCCCCAGATACAGAATAGGAGAGACATCCTCCTGCCCCCTGGTTCTGGTACATGAGTGAAGGGCGCTTCCACATGTCTGTGTTTATCTCGTCTCTGACCGTGTGACATTCTGGTTTGCTTTTGTCTTGTGGATTTATGTTTTCTGATGTGCAGATAAGTTTAGTTTCAGACATGGGAGCTGGACCAAGCATGGCTAAGACCCCTACGGGTTGCATGTTGCATCATTTTTTCAGGATTCCCACAAGGCTGACTGCTCCTGGCTACCTCCACACTACACCACCATCATCTTGTTCTGTCTCTCTCATTGGTTCAATGAGCCCGCTGTTTAAGTCCTGTGGGTTTCTCACAGATTGTTATCTCGGAGATTTTTCTGCTTGCTCTGGTCAGTGGGTTCAGTTTTGCAGGGATTCGGGGGTGCAATTGGACTTTGTCAGGCTGCCAGCTCCCAAATAATGACATAGAGACTTATTAATTATGAAAGCTTGGCCTTTAGCTTACCTACATTAATTTTTCATTTAATCTACATTCTGCCACATGGCCTTTTGCCTCTCTTCCATTCTGTGTGTCCGACTCTCAGTGTCTCCCTGGCATCTCTTGTGCACCTAGATTCCTCCTCCTGAGTTCCTCTCTTTCCCCAGAAGTCCCGCCTATTCTCTTCTGCCTAGCTATTGGCCATTCAGTTCTTTGTTAAACCAATCGCAATACACATCTTCAGACAGTTGTAAACAAGTATCTCGCAACACAGATGTCTTTGGGGTATGGATGATATTGAAGTATTTTATGCTGTCCCACTTTATTAAAAGCTGGCTCTGGAGTTGGGTTATGGCCCTTCTCTCCTGACCCAAGCATGCCTGTTTAAAAGTTTCCTCTAAAATCTGTCTTGGGTCAGACAGGTCTCCTGCCTCTGACAGCGAAAGGAAAAACAGCCCAAGAAAAGACACTCAGTGCTTCAGAACAGCTGGAGTAACGATTCCAATAGGAATTGCTGCTGTTTATCTCACACTCCTTTCCTTGGTTTTACTTAACTCTCTCCAACTTTTGCTAAAATATAAATTAATCTCAAGATTTGTAAGACTATTGTATCAACTTTCTGTGCCCTAAGGTTTGTATGTGTATTGAATATGGTTAACCATCTGTAAAGAAAACAAAAGCAACCTGATGTCAACATTTCCTGAGTTCCCATAGATGTCTTGTTTTTATAGTTTTCTGTCTAATGGCCTCTAGGTTACAGGTACTTAAGTTATTCTGCAACCCGATGACTTTATGAAAAGATATTTCTGAAGCTTTTCAGGTTGTCTGCCTCCATCTGCAGACACACACAAACTGGTTATAAAGGAAAATCAAACCCTCTGTCTAAAATCCCTCACTAGTAACTCCAAATATACCTGCTTCAAATCAGACCTGGGCTTGTTTAAGTATTAAAGGTGTGATGGCCCATGCTTTTAATTCCAGCACTCAGGAGGCAGAGACAGGCAGATCTCTGTGAGTTCAAGGCCAACCTGGTCTACAGAGCAAGTTCCAGGACAGCCAGGGGCCACACAAAGGCATCCTTCAAAAAGGCCGAGATAGACCAGGTCACTGGGCCTTCCCCTGAGTGTCCAGGCCCTCCTCCCTCCTAATGTATGCACTTAGGCCAAACTGCATGAAGCCTCAAGGTTTTCTGGGAAAGCTAGGGTACACAGGCTACAAACTAACAAGGATGGGGTCACCCCTGCAGCAGTGGGAAGGCTGTTAAATACACTGGGCAGAGGCCGCAGGTATTGTCTGACACCCCCTTAGGAAAAAGTCCTCACAACAAATGGTGTATTTACTTGTTACTTATTTAAATTTTAATCAAAAAAGACATAATAAAAATTAAAATGGGGGCTGGAGAGATGGCTCAGAGGTTAAGAGCACTGGCTGCTCTTCCAAAGGTCCTGAGTTCAGTTCCCAGCAACCACATGGTGGCTCACAACCATCTGTAATGAGATCTGGTGCCCTCTTGTGGCCTGCAGGCACACATGCAGACAGAACACTGTATACATAATAATAAATAAATAAATAAATAAATAAATAAATAAATAAATAAATAAATAAATAAATAAAATTAAAATGGCTAAATATAATTACAGATGTCTACATCTGACTTCTTCCCCTTCTCTTGGTTCTTTTTTTGTCTTTTTCTTATATGTGCACATTTGACTCTGTGAGGTTGTTGGACCCCCTGGAACTGGAGTTACAGACAGTTGTGAGCTGCCATGTGGGTGCTGGGAATTGAACCCAGGTCCTCAGGAGAAGAGCAGCCAGTGCTCTTAACCATGGAGCCATCTCTCCAGCCTCATATTTGTTGGTTCTTGTTAACAACAACAACAACAAAAGTGCCCCCATTCAAGGTCATGTATATGCAGAGCTCTTGATAAAATGAAAGACCAGTGGGGAAGGGTGGTGGGCTGTAAAATTCCAAGCAAAAAATTGCTTACTAAGATTTCCAAATTCCTATGGTCAGAGCGGTCTGCTCAGGGTAACAGAAACTTAGATAAGTATGCCTAACTACTTACGTCTTTGCTGATTGTGTTCAATACCAGGCTTCTAAAAATTTTTAGATTAAAAAAAAAAGTTTGATAAGTAGGATATATTTGATATATAAGGTTTATAAACTTCTTAGGCCTACTTGGGCTAGCAGAAACTGACTTAAAGATATAGGTCTAGTCTCTCTTTGCTAACTTTGTTAAGCTTTAGCTATTTGGATAAACTGAGTCATTCGAAAAATTGTGATACAAAAAGATTTTTTTTTTCTAAAAAAAAGTAAGGCTCTCAATCTCTCTGTGGACTGTATTTATGATTTTGTAAATTTCCCAGTCCCTCTATGGACTGTATTTATGGTTTAAAGTTTTATTTTACTGCCAGAGGATTTTTAATTAAATCTTCTATTCAAAATTTGAAGGTTAAAGGCCGGGCGGTGGTGGCGCATGCCTTTAATCCCAGCACTCGGGAGGCAGAGCCAGGTGGATCTCTGTGAGTTCGAGGCCAGCCTGGGCTACCAAGTGAGTTCCAGGAAAGGCGCAAAGCTACACAGAGAAACCCTGTCTCGAAAAACCAAAAAAAAAAAAAAAAAAAAAAAAAAAAAAAAAAAAAAAAAAAAAAAAAAAAAAAAAAAAAAAAAAAAAAAAATTGAAGGTTAAAACTTAACAGGGATAAAAGTGTAAAGTCTTAATCTTGTAAAAGTTGCTAACTTGTTGTAAACTGTTACAGAGAATTAAGATATGCAAGCTAATGGTCAGTCACCTAATAGATGATGGAATTCTTGAATGTGCCTAGACTGTTTTATAGTCACGCTAAGTCATTCATTTACAGAATGACAAGCTTTAGCTTAATGTGTATGTTTTCAAGGTTAAGCCTAAAGCAAGTAACTGAAAAAGTAATGGTTCGAGTTCTGCCAGCACCTGGTCTCTGAGCCAGGGAAGCAGTCAGGGGGGTCTTCTAAACATAATCAATACAAACAAATCAATACAAAACAAACAAATAAAGAGTAAATTCCTCTCTATTTGGGGTGCGGTGGCCCAGAAGCAAAGGAAGGAGGTCTACACACCCTTTGCTGAACTCTGAGTTTTATGGGGGGTTTTGGTTTTCTTGTTTTGTTTTTGAAAGCCCTGTTTGTTTGGTTTTTGTTTGTTTGTTTATACCTGCCCAGAATTCTGAGGTCTGTAAACACAATGGAATTGTTTTGTTTGAGACAGGATTTCTCTGTGTATGTAGCCCTGGCTGTCCTGGATTTTGCTCTGTAGACCAGGCTGGCCTCAAACTCAGAGATCTGCTTGCTTCTACCTCCTGGGATTAAAGGTGGCTCACAATGGAGTTTTTAATCTGTATCTAAAGCTTTAGCTAGTAATTGAGAGGTTTTGGCTATGAAAGCCAGGCCATTGTTGGGCCCCACTGCTGGGGGCTGGGGGGAGTAGGGGACAAAGCAGGGGACCAGTTCCCAGAAAAGGTACCTATAAAAGCTAGCAAGTACTTGTCGACTCCCCTGGCAGGCCTGATCTCAGTGAAACTGGTTTCCCAGAGTTCACTGGGGATGCTGGCCTTTCATTTGGACCCCTTCCTGGGTGAGAGCTCTCTGTTTCGGATTTACCTGAGCACAAACCTGGCATCTGGCTGAGAGACATCCTGAGCCAAGGTGTCCGGTGTAGGCGTAACCGACCTTCATCTGAGCAACTCAGAAAGTTTTGTGGACCCCAGATGAGCAGCCTGGTGAAGGTCAGTTCCTAGAGTCCTGCAGTTGTTTCTGGGAGAATGATCCTAGAATCTTGCCCTCTGGTGTCCTCCATCAACCTGTGACTTTGAGTTGTCCATTTGTTGACATTCCCCTTTTTTCTCTGGGTTGTACCACGGGGTCTCAGGCAACAGTGGGTCGGGGCATGTCACCGGAATATCA